GCTCGGTGCGTGGGCCGCCGCTCTCGGCCGCCCTTGGTGAGCTCGTGCAGGCTCGGGGCTTTCAGGGCCGTGTCCTGGCTCACAGATTGGTATCTCCACCCCAGACATTCCCCACACTCCAGACTCCTATATCCACCTGCCAGGTAGACATCTCTACTTAGCTTAACCTTCCCAAGTCCAATCCTATCTACTTAGCAGCAACTCTCCCACGCATCCAAAAATGGATTTGAGCTTTTACAAAGTCTTTCTCATTTTCTTTTCTTTTTTAAGATTTTATTTATTTTAGAGAGAGAGAGATCACAGAGGCAGAGGAAGAGGGAGGAGACTCCCCGCTGAGCAGGGAGCCCAATGTGGGGTTGATCTCAGGACCCCAGGATCATGACCTGAGACCAAGGCAGAGGCTTTACCGACTGAGCCATTAGGTACCCCAAGTCTTTCCCCTTTTCCAGGGTAGCTCTTGGTGGTTCTGAAAAGCTTTGGGTCTCTGGCTTCTGATCCCTAGAAGGCTTTTTCAGCCAGTCTTTCTAACTTTTGTTTGGCATGTTGACCTCATTCTTCAAGTTGCTTAGGGAAAACCCCCAGAATCATTCTTGACTCCTCTTCATCTCCTGGCACCTGTCCAATTCTTCAGCACGTTGTTTCTATTCAAACTCTTTAGAATAGGACATCTCACCCCTTCTATTGATACACCCATGGGGGTCCAGGCAACTGTGTTCTGGCGGGTGTGAGTGCAGTAATCTGCCACCTGCTCTCCCTGACTCTAGTGTTAACCTCTTATACTCTATTCTCAACAGAGAAGCTACAGTGATGCTTGCTTTCAAAATGCTGAGTCAGATCACGTGTCTCCACCGCTCCATTCCCTTCACTGGCTCCATTCTCACCCAGAACATAAGCAAAGGTCTTAACATTGACCAACAAAGCTTCTTGGCCGTGTCTGCAACATTCTAGGTTTTCTGAATTAGGGCCCTATGGTCTGTTCTCCCTGCCATGAATGCTCTGTCACATGCAGCTCCTGGCTTACTCCCTCATCTCCTTCAAGTCTTCCCAAAGCTCATGTTCTCACCCTACTTACTCAAGCAGCTGGCCCCCCACAGACCCACACACAGGCAATTCCTTTCCCACTGCTTTTTATTTTCCATGCCATTCACTACCTTCTAATACAGTAGAATGTACAAATTTAGTGTTTTCAATTCCTGTCTCCCCTATCTTGGGTTGGTGGTCTAGTAACTACCGTTACATAACAACCACACCCAAACTTAGTGACTTAAACCAGCCACTTAGTTGGCACACACACCTCCCGCTTGGGCAGTCCCCGGGGGTCAGGCGCCGGGGGTGGCTCAGTGTCGGGCTCCAAGAATCTGCTTTCAAGAGGCCTCAGTCCCACAGTCTATGGGCCAATGGCCTCGGTTCCTTTCCATGTGGTGCATGCTTCCTCATAGCATGATGGCTGGGTTCCTAGGGTGCATATCCCAAGAGAGCACCAGCCCTGTGGGCCAACCTGTTCTTCTCTGGGTCAGGGGCTTGGGCCGGGGTGTGCTGGGAAAAAGCATTCATGAGGTCAGCCTCATACTTCTCAGGGGCAAGTAATTTCATGTGGCTTCTTCTCTCTCTGCCTTTGGCCTGTTGCCCCAAACCTCAGCCCCCACCACTCCGGTTGTCCCTGTCTTGCTTCATGGCATAGAGATGCCACTGACCCAGTATCCAGAGCAGCTGGGAGCCTCAGCCATGGAGAGAGGGTGGTGGCCCAGGACACTTCTGTTAGGGAGAGGCAGGCTGGGGCTGTTGCTTTTTAAGGTCAGTAATGAGGAAGATCTTGTTATATGTGTTATCAGGGAGGGTCACGGACTTTGCCAATTACGGAAGTTAGTTTCTGATGAAGAAAAGAGGTGTCAAGATGTGGTTCGGCGGAGCAGAAGCAGTGCTCAACTGTTCATAGCAAAATAACATGGATGTAGGTGATTCCCTGTGAGTTCGGTTAAGTTTGCTGTGCTTGCAAATGGCAGTGGGGTCTATGTTCACATACTCAACTTTCCAAGTGTGTTCTGCACTTATATCAAATGTCATCACTTTAAACAAATAAGAGAACTTGAGTATGATTCCCCCTTATAAGACTTTTATTAATGCCAGAAATGAAACAGTAAGAACATAATGCATTTTTTAACATCAGAATGATTATGGGTACAAGGATGGTATTAACAAGGACCGAGAAGGCATCGAGAAGAGAAAGTCAGGCCTGAGGGGAGCCTTCAGTCTGACTCAGATCTAAAGGTCACAGTTCAGCGTATCCTTGCTCTAGGGAAGAGGCCTGGACATGGACTTCCACAGGATGATTCTGTGCCTTTGAGCTCTTCCCTCCACAAGGAAAGCTTAACTCCCAAAGTTCCTGGGCTTGTGGCCTTAGGGACTCGCAGGCTTGAAACCCTTCTGCACTGCACAACCCGATTTGGAGGAATTTCCTAACGAAATGAGATGGAATAAAGCAAAAAGGAACTATGGAAAACTGTGGGATTGATGTCTGCGCTGTCCTGCTGGCTTTTGGGAAAGGGCACCCGGTGCGGCGTACGCACATGCCGTGTGTACTTGACTCGGAATGCTATCTGGGATCATTTCCATTTTTCAAAAAACCCCAAACCTCAGCCCTGGTCACATTTGTAGCCCTGTTACACATGCATTACCTCCACAGGAAAGCAGGATTTGGCCGGCATCATTCTGACCTACGGTGACTCTCTCAGGAGTATGCACTGCTGTCAGCTCAAAGTTACCTGTACTTTGTATCCCTGAGTCCTTATGCTTTTGGGTAACCATCCATTAGCAGCCTTATCAAAGCGGGACATAATCACACACACCCTGGAAAGGAGCATGAAAGGCATCTTTTTTTTTTTTAAATCCCTAATTAATTGCTCCCAAACAGGTCACACTACTCGAGTGTGTATTGCTTCGTGTGGTCACTACTTCCAGGAAATATTCTGTAGAAAGAGGTTTTGGGTGTGGTCAATTGGATGCCATTTCACTACTGACACAATTTCAGCTGTATTTTCTTTTCTGATCTGTCTTCAGTCTGGGGTGGTTCTTGGCACTTGGGCATATAACTTTTCTGCACCAGCCTCTGTCAGGTAATCGAGAATCTAAATACAGATCCCCCCCCCCCCCGCAAAGGCAGGTACTATCTAGAACTGACAGCCCTCTTGCCTGAGGCTCTAATGACTCTTCCCAAGTCACACAGGGAAGAAGGCAGATCCTTACAGGCTCCGACCTGAGTGTTGTGACATGGTGTGGGCTGCAGGGACCTCTCATTTCTCCATCCCGGCTCATGAAGGACTCTTATATCATTTAAAGCATTCAACAATTTCCCCCCACTTTCCTCTGGGAAGAAAATGAGGTCACCAGGTCCTGTTGCTTTGAACGTCAGAAGTACTTCTTTAATGATCTGAAAAGCCAGGACTGACACTTACTTACCTTTGGGGCAGTTTGAAACCCGAAAACCCTACAGCAAAGCCTACAACTGCCCCGACTGGCCCTGTCATCAACTTGCCTGCCTAGTCAATCCATCCTCCTACAAGACACAAAGCCAGGCAGAATGGTGGACCAGTATCTGCTTACTTCCCAGTTGTTCAATTTGTCTTCTGGCAGCAGGTGCTCAGAAGAATCAAGAAGGGCCATTAAATAAAACCCTGTGCCCGACTGAGACTTTTGTCTGGGTCCCCTGGGCCCCAGTGCCCCATCAAAGAAGGGGTGACACGATGCCTTCACGACAGAGTGGGACTGTTTGCTCTCAGGATTTAGTCATCGCTAAAACAGAAGGGAAAAATTCATCGGGAAATTTGAGGATGGAACTCATTGTTTTTTGTTTTGTCGTGTTGTGTTTGTTTTCTGGTCATAACTATCTATCACTCAAAAGCTTGGGTCCAGCATAGGACAGCCAGGGATGATTCGTGCCTTCCCGAGGTGACAAAAATTCTTCCATTAGCATTAGCCAGCTCACAGGAAACACACTGCAAGGGCACCACGCAATCCAAGAACGGATTTCACAGTGATCGTCAAGAGGTATTTCTAATGGTAACTACTGATTGTGTGAGAGTTTCCCATTTGAACACCACACAAAGAAAACCTGGCTTCACATGCATACCTTTCAAGCAAGAAAGCACCTGCTCAAAATCCTATGAAAGGGAGAGGAGATGATGACTCATCTCGTGTCTGCACGGGTTCCTCATGTCTCCAAGGGTCACCAAACTAATAGATTTCATCAAAATCCTCTGAGGCAGCGTAAGATGGTGGAATGAGCCTGCAATGGGCAGCTGGGCCAACTCTATTCTAGGCCTCACTCTGGGTCTTGGCTCTGTGAGGGACCTTAGGCAGTGTTCCTTCTTCTGGTTCTTGGTTTTCTTTCCTTCCAAGTGGGGCAACAATCTCTGCCAAGCCTAGCTTCTGAGGTTTTTTAGGAAAGAGATGAGATGATGCATGTGAAAACATGCCAAGAAAGGCCAGCGGCAACGGAAGTTCCAGCGTCATCTGATGTGCTTGTCACAGAGCCCGGGACTGACTGCCCATCTCACTTCAATTGTCTTTCTCTGGGGATAGAAATGATTTGTCTGTTGGACTCTTTGAGTAAGGAATGCAGATTCTGCCACCATCTCTGGGTTTGATCCCCTCAACCAGGTCTTCAGGGGCTGGGGCAAAATGGTCTCCAGGAGCCTCTCTGCCAGTATAGTTTGTGACCCAGGAAGCACAGAAGAGAGGTCAGAATTTTCAAGCATGAAAGTCAAATGATTCTGTCTGGTGGCAACACTGGCTCTGATCTGCACTCCAAATGCTCCGCTGGAGAGATTCTCAACCAAACTCTGGGGAAAATATGCTCCCAAGTCTTGTTTTTATTGATCCTACCCTGCCTGAATGAATGGAGTTTTCTACATTACAGTCCATGGCTCTGGAATCCTCCATCGCTGCCTCTCATGTCTGCGGAGCCAACTCCAAGCATCCCAGAGGCTCTGGGCTAGCACGGCTGGGGAAGGCCACTGCCTAGACGGGTGGGGGTGGGAGCTGGGAAACTACCTCCTTCTCCTCCCCATTCAGCGTGTACAAATACATCCTCTCTCCCCAAGGTTCTTGCCAAGCCCACAGAAATTACAGATTCTCTCTGGATCTTGACCTGCATTGACCATCGGTGCAATTCTGGCAAAAAAAACTCAGAGCAAGCCCTGAGCTTCCCTGCCCCATACATGGCCCAAGCACATGTCTCACACTTTAGATTGCCTCTCATCCGTCCACTCCTGCTTTGTGCTCTGGAGGGCTTGGGTCTTCTGCTCATCTACCTGGACATAGTCGACTCTTTGCTCTTCTGAAAGGAGAAGTTTCTAAAGGGAGAGAACAAAAAGGTTTTCATTACACTGAATAAAAAAAAATCAGGAAAATGTCAGCCCTTTTGGGGTAGATTACAGCGTCGTTAAATATTTGCTGCCCCTTCCTCCTGGGTTGTTCCCTGCAGAATCCTTACACTTTGGGTAGATGTTTAAATATCTCTTTTCCTGTGCTCCCTTCAACTTCACTCTAGCCATTCAGTCCGCTCTGACCAATATAACGTGAGTGGAGGTGACACATGCCGACCCGAAAGGGAAAAGACCTAGCATGTGATTCTGCCACAAGACCAGCGTGCCTCAGCTGGGGGGGCTGCTTCTCCTGGGCCCTGGATGGAAGATGACCCGGCCTGCAGCCGACTGGTCTGTGAGCAATAATGGAAAAGGCCTTGGCTGTTGCAAGCCACTAAGCCTTGGGGGTTGTCTGTCTTGACTGCAGAGCCCTGTACCAAAACGGACTGAGGCACCCTTTTGTACTTGTTGGTCTGACTGGTTTTTCTAGAATACCAGTTCAGGTTTTGGGAATGAAATTAAAGGTAAAGGAGAAGTGGGAGTGCATTTGGCAAAAGGAAAGGGAAATCTTCCAGATTTTTTTCCTGCACACACACACAAAATGGAATCATACTGTATATCCTGTTCAGCTAAATTGCCTTTCTCATCAAACAATATATATCGTTAGGCACATTTTAGATTACAACCATCCCTTGCTCAAAAATATTTAGCTGTTTTGCATTGCTTACCATTCATTCATTCCGTGGCTTACACTGTGTAGTGGGTGACCAGCTAGGGTCGCTTACACGTATTAACTCATTTCATCCTCACGACAGGCCTCGATGTCAATGCTATTATTTCTGATTCCCACTTTACAGATGAGAATACTATCTAAAGGAGTCAAAACTGCCCAGCCTGGCATGTGAGGCCCTTTACTGAGGGGTTCCATTTCCAACTGCGAGCTCGCCAGAGTCTAACCAAACTCCGCCATTCCTTCTTCCCTAAGCAGACCCCTCCTATGCCGATACATATCTGTGTATTTAAGACCTTCCAAAGAGAACATGCATGGTTGAATCATCAGGAAAATCTAAACAGAAAAGGAATCTCCTGGGAATTCTCAGACACAAGGTACTTCCTACCTGCTGTATAGGGGCTGGTGATGCTGAATTGAAGTCCAGAGCTAAATAATCCAGGCTGAATTTCTTTGTCCATGTCAGAGCACCGCTGCTTAGGGAGTTGGCTGTTCTGTGATTCTAGAAACCAACATCACAGGACTCAGGTTAAGGATATCTGGCCGGGCTGCCCAAGGGAAGGAGGGCGAGTCACGTCCCCACTTGAGCATCGGCCATCAGATCACAACAGAGTGTGTGACGAGACCTGCACAGAGCAGCCCTCCCTGTCTGAAATACAATATAGACAATTCAGCTTTCACACAAAAAGCTATACCTTTATTCACCACAGAAACAGTTGGCCAAAATCTCCCTCAAGAAGAAACTGTTTTAAGGATATGACAGGCCCAAGATACCTTAGAGACTAAATCCCCAAAAGATCAATCACATTTATTAAAGTTCTAGTAAAGGTGCCCCAAATGCACTCACTTTATACAACGTGAACAGTGTAACGTGTGTGACACACAGCTGTGGACTCACCACAGCCTCAGAAGCACCTGTTCTACGACCTTTCTCTCCTCATAAGAGACTTAAGCACTATATTGAATTTTGCATTTACCACTCTTTTCAAATACGGTTTTGACAGTGTGTAAGTACCCTTAAATCACATAGTTTCGTTTTGCCTATTTTGAACTTTTCACATCTCTGACTTTACTATCACCAAACTATTTCTCAGCGGGCTGTGGTTACACCAACTTACACACTTACCAGGAGTGTATCCGAGCTCTTATTGCTCAGTAATATCAGAGTGTTTCATGTTTTTCCCACTTCATTTGGGGAAAATGGTTTCTTACTGTGGTCTGATCTTCCATGCCCTTGATAATTAATTGGCCAACTTTTCATATGTTTAAGGACCATCTATTTTTTTCTCTTCTGTGAATTGTCTATTCAGGTTTGTTTTTGTTTTGCTGACTTTTATATGGAAGTGCCTGCATTTTTCTAATTTTCCTCAGTACTTCCTCATATATCCTGGAGAGCAATTGTTTGTTGGTGATGTGCATTACAAATGGCCTATCATGGTTTATAGTTGCTTCTTTCTTTTTTTGTATGGTATTTCCTTTTTTTTTTTTTAAAGATTTTTATCCGTTTATTTTACACAGAGAGAGTGAGAGAGAGCACAAGCAGGGGGAGTGGCAGGCAGAGGGAGAGGGAGAAACAGACTCCCCACTGAGCAGGGATCCCAGGACCCTGGGATCATGACCTGAGCCGAAGGCAGATGCTTAATCGACTGAGCCACCCAGGTGCCACTATAGTATTTTCTAAATGAAGAGTCGTTCCCACTTTTAATGTAATATTTTCCTGAGTGGCTTGTTTTTGTATTTTAAGGAATCCTTCAGATGCTGAGGTCTTAACTTGTTGCCCCATATTTTCTCCTAAAATTATATAAAGTTTTGCCCTTCACGTTTAAGTAATAATGTAGCCTGAGCTGATTTTAACCTATGGTGGTGAAACAGGGATACAATCCACTCCTTGTTTGTTGTTTTTACCCCACATGGATAGCCATCCTTTCTCCCGTGATGCAACCTCTAGTCACATATTAAGTTCCCATATGTGAATAGATGTTGAGTTCTATCAAATACTTGTTCTGCAACTGAGAAAAGCACATCATTTTCTCCTTTAATATGTTAATGTCCTGACTGACTTAAAAGATTCTTTTAATTTATAGTTGTTATAGCTCATCTCTCAGAAAATATTAAGGAGTGCACTTGTCGCAATGAACACAGGGTATTATAGGGAAGTTTGAATCGCTATATTGTACTCTGAAAAACCAATATAACACTGCATGTTAACTAACTGGAATTAAAATTAAAACTTAAAAAAAAGGCAACAATAGATTTTTAAAAAACGTTTCCCCTTCTGGCACAGTTTTTGTTTCCTCTGATCTGTTTTGGTCTCTACCCTTCATGCCAGAGCTTTCCAGAAAGGTCTGATGAAATCATTGGCTGTCTGCTCATATTTAAGAGCCAAAGACCCAAAAGTTGACTGGAAGCTTTGAGTACATTGGTGGTGCTTGTCAACTGTGGGGTTCACTTCAGGGGGATCCTACTGGATGGTTTTCTTGGGTAACCCTCAATGTCAGGACCTAGGTCTTCCTCGGGCTGCTCAAATAACCCAGAGAACTATCTTCCGATCTCCAGGACTCAGTTGGAAAGGTCTGATTGTCAACATTGTGGAAAAGAGGGGCTATAGGGAAAAGGTTTGGGAATGGTTCTCATATCCATTAGGCATATTTACCTCATCACCTCGTGTTTAGTATAGTATTCTTGGGCATATGGGTCTAATGTCTCCCCCAACCAGTCCAGAGAACCCTTGTTTTACTCTCTCCAGAGACTACACTTCAACTTTTCTGTAGAGAAGGGAAGTCATAGAGGTCCACCACCATGCAGTGAGGGAGGGGCATTTTGAGATTTACCTGCTGCTTAGGCGGACTTTGGACCACTACCTCTTCTTTTCCTTTCCCTTCAGCCCTACTTCCAGAACTATGTGCCATGGACAAGTCCTGAACCTTTTGGTATTCTGTAATATATTCTGCCTACCCCCACCACCCCCCCGGTGTATTTAGGTGTATTCTTGGGTCTGATAAGTCATTTACCACACATCCATCTGCTTTCCAGTTTCCAGTGTCACTGTTATTATCTTCTTCAATTCTCTACACCCTTACGGGTTTATGCCTTTAACAAATCCCTTTACTGGCATTTTAGAGGCCGTTTTGGGATGGAGGGAAAACAGAAGCCTGTGGTCAATCTGCCATCTTTACGGAGATGTCCAAGAACAGAATCTGAAATGTTAAACCCACTTTGTATACCTGGGATAAATTCATCTTGTTTGTGTGTATTCTCAGCTTTTCACAGTGCTGGATTTATTTTGCTAAAATCTTCTTTAGGGCTTCTTTTCTAACAACTTTATCGAGCTATAATTCCAGACCATACAATTCTCCCATTTAAAGTGGTGCTTAGTGTGTGCCCATATTTGTGCAATCATTGTCTCAATTAATTTTAGAATATTTTCATTACCCCGAAAAGAAATCCTGCACCCCTTGCTGTCACCCCCAGTCTCACCATCTCCCCAAGCTCTCAGCAACAACCACTAATCTATTTTCTCTCTAAAGACTTGTTATTCTAGCCATTCCGTACAAATGCAATCATACAGTATGTGGTCTTCTGAGAGGACTGGCTTCTTTTCACTCAGCATACTGTTTCCAAGGTTCACCAATGTTGTTTCATTGCATGGCTGCATAGCATTCCATCAGGTGGCTATACCACATTACAGCTGATGAACATTGGGGCTATTTTCACTTTTTGGCTATTAAGAAAGTGCTGCTGGGGCGCCTGGGTGGCTCAGTCAGTTAAGCGTCTGCCTTTGGCTCAGGTCATGATCCTGGGGTCCTGGGATCGAACCCTGCGTCTGGCTCCCGGCTCGGCCAGGAGCCTGATTCGGGAGCCTGATTCTCCCTCTCCCTCTGCCTGTCCCCCCCCTACTTGTGCTCACTCTCTCTCTGTCAAATAAATAAATAAAATCTTAAAACAACAACAACAACAACAACAACAAAGGATGGGGCACCTGGGTGGCTAAGTCGTTTAACTGTCTGACTCCTGATTTCAGCTCAGGTCATGATCTCAGGGTTCTGGCATTGAGCCCAGCATGGGGCTCCATGTTCAGAGGGGAGTCTGCTTCTCCCTCTGCTCCTCCCCCGCTCGTGCTCTCTCTCTCTCTCTCTCTCAAATAAATAAATCATTAAAACAAAGGACAAAAATGGTTGAAGAAAACGACATAATGAAATAAGAACTGAATGACTGTACTCAGGGAAAAAAGTGAAGAGAAAGAGAAAACCAGTCTCAGAGATGAGGCCTAAGCCACAAGATTCCCAGGGAAAAAGAGATTCAACTGAAAATTTAATAAATGCTATTGAAGAAATGCCAGAAAACAGCTAAGAGAATAAAAAAGGAAAAGAATCACAGAAAAAAAAAAGGTTGAAATAGAAGACAGGCAAACAAGATGCAGTATACATATTTATTATTAGATTCCTCATAGAAGGAAAACCAAACAATGGTATAGTACTAATATTAAAAACTATAATCCAAGAAAAAGTCCACAGATAAAGTAACTCCTGACGCTACATACTGAAAGGGCCCACCAAGTACCTGGATTAACTGGATGGTCAGTTTTACCCAAGATGGTAAATTCTATTACAACGGCTATATTGATAAAATGCCAGAATAAAAATAAATAAATTAGGGACGCCTGGGTGGCTCAGTTGGTTAAGCGACTGCCTTTGGCTCAGTTCATGATCCCAGGGTCCTGGGATCGAGCCCCACGTTGGGCTCCCTGCTCGGTGGGGAGCCTGCTTCTCCCTCTCCCTCTGCCTGCCACTCTGCCTACTTGTGCTCTCTCTCTCTCTGTCAAATAAAAAAAAAGTGCTGCTATGAACATCTGTGTACAAAATTTGGTTGGACATATTCTTCTTTAGGATATTTTAATCTGTGTCAACGAGTAAAATTGGTCTATAATTTTGTACTTAGGTTATCGCTATTTGTATCATGTTGTTTTAGACTTATAAAATAAAGTGGGTAATATTTCCTCTTTTTCCATTCCCCGGAGGCATTTATATAAGATTGTAATGATCTCTTCCTTTTGGTAGAAAGTGTCTGTACAATTGTTTGGGCCTCATGATCCTTTGTAGTAGAATTTTCCCTACTGATTCAGTTTCTCTAGTAGTTATATAATCATTCAGGTTTTCTATTTCTACTTGAATGTGTTTTTGGATATTTTCTGATAATTTGCCTATTTTCACCAAAGTTGTCAAAATGCTGGCATGGAGTTCAAAATATTCTCTTATGTCATCCATCTCTGGCATATTTGCAATTATTATCTCCTTTACATTTTTAATATTATTTGTATCCATTGCTTTTTCTTGATTAGTTATGTTCAATTTTAGTCTTTATTTTTTTTTAAGATTTTATTTATTTGACAGAGAGAGAGAGCACAAGCAGGGGGAACGGCAGAGGGAGAAGCAGGCTCTCTGCCGAGCAGGGACCCTGACCCGGGACTCAATCCCAAGACCCTGGGATCATGACCTGAACCAA